GAAGCTGAGGAAACCCCGGACAAGCCGAAAAAGAAAAAGGCTAAAAAAGATAACATATTTATCAAAAAACCAAAATCTGATCCAAATGCACCTCCCAATGATAGAATTCCCTTGCCTGAATTGTGAGTTAACAGCAATAAAATATTTCGCTCTCCTTTCCATGTGACAGAATGCTTTTGTAAAAATAAAGTTGCTTAGAGCTAAATGACTGAATATTATTTTATTATAATTTTCAGGAAAGAAACTGATAAACTGGAAAAGGGTAAAGCCCTAAGAGAAGCATCTAAAAGAGTGCAATTGGGCCCTGAAAGTCTCCCTTCTATTTGTTTCTATACCTTGTTGAATAGCGGACACTCTGCGATATCCGCTGACATCTGTGACGATTCAACATTATTGGCTGTGGGGTTTAGTAATTCGACAATAAAGGTACAGTGTGATTTAATAACTGAAGTAATTTACATAAGTAATTACCTTAAAAATATTTTGTTTCCTGTTTTCAATTTTTTTCAGGTGTGGACACTAACGCCAGTAAAACTTCGTGGCATGAAGTCTGCAGAGAAGTTGCAGGATATTGATAGAGAAGCTGGTAAGCTATCATGTTATGTATAAAATAAATCACTCAGTGATAAAGCTTACTACTACGCGCGCAATTTTGATGAAGAACTAGAAGCAAAGACTACTTTCACTCTCGCGCGATTTGTGCGTAGAATTTACCTTCAGTATGCCTAAGATGCATGCCGCGATAAGCGGTTATCACGCCATTTTATCGATTTTGTCCATACATTTTGACGTCGATAAAAGTTGTCACGGCGCGCATCTTAGGCCTACAGGTAACCATTTATTGTTTCCAGGTGACGTCCTTGTAAGAATGATGGAAGAAAGAGACAGAGATACCTGTCGCACTTTGTATGGTCATGCTGGCCCAGTATACAAAGTGGGATTTGATCCATTTAAAACATTGCTTCTATCTTGCTCTGAGGATGCAACTGGTAAGAAACTTGTTTTGTTTTCTCATAAAAACTTGAGCAAAATTGAATAATAAGTACATAGGTAAAGCCTGGTCCGTGAGCACGTAGAATTTTGTCGCCCGCAGTGATTGTGCGAGCGCGACAGCAACATAATAACGCGCGAGCGATAAGGATGGGCAGCTTGGGGTCATTGGACAAAATTCTACGTGCTCACGGACCAGGCTATAGTTCGTATTCTTAAATCAACTTGGCTAAGGATTTAAATATGTTTTTATTCCAGTACGTTTGTGGTCTTTACAATGCTGGACATGCTTAGTGGTGTTCCGCGGCCACCAGTGGCCCGTGTGGGACGTGCGATGGTCCCCGCACGGCCACTACTTCGTGACGAGCGGGCACGACCGCACCGCCCGCCTCTGGGCTACCGACCACCATCAACCTCTCAGGATCTTCTCCGGTCATTTGTCTGATGTTGATGTAAGTATTTATTATTAAATTATGTAATTTTTGAGTGCAAGGAGGCAGCGTTCGACATCAATTTTTTTTTCATTCAGTTTTGAGATGAATATGATTGCACGCAAATTAAGATTATTTATTATTTTGGCTTTTTAGAACAGAATGTTAAATAAAAAATAAAATTAACTCTAATGATATTTTATTGAGTTTGAAATTTTATTGTTACAGTGCGTGCAGTTTCATCCTAACTCGAATTACGTTGCTACTGGTTCCAGTGATAGGACTGTTCGCCTGTGGGATTGTTCCACGGGATTTCAAGTTCGCATTATGACGGGGCATAAAGTAAGCAATAGGAAAAAAGGAATGAATTGTAGAACTACACTTGCATGTACCTTTATTTGTATTAACACTAAGAAATATACTTTTGTTACAGTCAACAATATACTCTATCGCGTTTTCTGTTTGCGGAAGATGGTTAGCGTCTGGTGGAAGTGGGGGCGAACTGATGGTTTGGGATCTATCTACCGGAACCCCAGCTGCATTAATCCCTCCATCCCATACTGGTCCTATTCATGCATTAGCTTTTAGTCGTGATGGAACTATCCTATCCTCTGGTAAGTAAATAAATAAGATTTTATAATTAATTTTACATCTAAGTTTTGTTACAAACAGGGTTCGAAAATATCCTTATGTATATCATAAATATCAGATATTTATGATATATATCGGATTTATGTATACCATAAATATCGGATATTTTCGAACCCTGGTTAACCAACTAATGGAAGCACCTACTTTTCAATACATTATTAGTAAATTTTAATTTTCCTACAGGTGCCTTGGACTGTAACATCAAGCTGTGGGATTTCACTGCTATAACTGAAGAAGTAACTGCCGAGGAAGCAGGAAATAGCAATGGAGTGCAAAAAGAAGAAAAGTTTTTGTTGAGATCATTTGCTACAAAGAATTCTCCCATAAAATGTTTACATTTTACTCGTCGTAATCTGCTGTTAGCTGTAGGAACATATGAAGGAAGTTCTTAACCTCTTACCTACGGGAGGCACTTATAGTTGCCAAGTCAAAAGTCACTTCTCAATACGGGTGGCATCTATTGTTATTTTGGCAAAGCCAATACTAAATCACGGTTTACGACAAAAAAACAATAAAATTGCAAATTAAGTGTAAAATGCGCTTGTAATTATGAAACTACATTAGTTGCAGAATGTAATATTCCAAATTTCAATACCGTAAGTCTTATACTTTTTAAAATATCTTGATGTAAAGTGGAGCAAACAATTTTATAGGTTAAAATACCCCGTATTGAGAGGCGACTTTGGGTTTCCAAGGGCCCGTAGGTAAAGGGTTAATTAGGTACTTAGTTAAGGTTAAATGAATTAAATAATTTAAATAAAAGTTCATCATATTACTTATCAATAATATATTTTATTTCATTATTATAGACAAAGCAGAATTATAAAATTTGCAACAGATATGACCTTTCTGATGTTATAAACTGTATCATCAAATTCAGTATTGATTCATTGCTTCGTGCCACTTGTGCTTTCATTGCTTGTTTAAAATCTTCTTTTACTCCTTTATCTGCACCACGGGTGCCTATCCTTCTCTGTCCCAAATGTTGTTGAGAATTTGGTAAAATGTCCAAGGCAATGTTATTACCTTGTTCATTCCACATAAAACTGAGTTCTTCTAAAATATCTATATGAATTATATATGCAGAAAATAAATGGTAATGAAATACTCCTTTTTGCCGAATGGTATCCAGTATATGCATAAATATTGCCTCTTCTTGTGGCCAACCCAACTGCATTAACACAAGCATATGTCCATATGATAAATCAGAGCTGTTACTAGTATTAAATAGTATTCTTATGAGCAATGTGCAAAAGTAGTGCATCACAGCCACTCTGGTAACAGGCAAGAAATGAAGATGTCTGTGTTTACCACCAACAATCAACTCTGTTTCCAACACTCCTTCTATATTTGGAAGTTGTGGTAAAGCTAGCAATATGTTTTCAATACATGCAGTATAATTTTTTTGAAAGTAATTTATAGAAACCCTGATAATACAAGCTTTCAGATTAGCAACTGACAGTGGTGGAATAGCTTCCTCATATCTCCCTCTGTACAAAGCCAGCTCTTCAACAAAACCCTCTGACCATGGTTTCACTTGCAACTGATTAGCTAACTTTGTGAATTCTCGAGATATAACTTCATTGCTGTGCAATAACTCCCAACAATTTGCAGCTGCTTGAAACTGCTGAGCTGATATACCAGTAACTTCAATTTCACCTTTTCTTCTTTTAGAAGGTGGAGCATCAGGATCTGATAATGATTCAATTAAAATGTGATTTCCTTTTATAGATCGCTGTTCATACAATGACCTCAAGAAAAAAGTAACACCACAGTATAACAGTTGACGGCAATCTTCACAATTTCTTAAAAGCATGAGCTTTTGAAAATATGTTTCTTTATTCAAACTATTGTTATAATTGATAAGATATGGGTCCCACCCCAATTGTCTTGCTAGTAAATCCAAAACACCATAAAGTCTCTGCCATGGATCAGAAATATCATGTTCTGCTTCATCATTAACATAAGAGTTATAGAAATCTATAGCTTTTATAAGTAATCTCTGAAGTAACCTTGGTGATTCTAAAGAACTTAGTAATGGTAATGTTTCAACTACTAGCAAACGAGCATATCTATTATCATAAAAGAATTTATCTGTGTTTATAAGAGTTTTAACTAAACTGTCAACCCCTAACTGGGGAAATTTTTTGAGGAGCAGAACTAATAATCTGCAATGCTCCATTGTATCATCACTATTTTCAACGCTAGTTTTCAGAATGGTTAACTGTATATCTGGGCAGATATTATCAAACATTTGACTCAAAAAACTTGTCTCTGATGACCTTAATGCATTTGCAATAGCGGAAATTTCTGGCAGTAAATCGGAGAGGTTTTGTCTTGACATTATTAAGGACGAAAAGCAATCTGCAGCCTCTTGAACATTGCCAGACTGTTTCTCCATTTGATAGGCTTCAAATTGGATCTTAAAGTTTGAGGGAAATAACGTTTTTGCCGTTAGCATCCATGCTTTAGCACTGTATAGATTATTTTTCTGGGCTTCTTTGGCTCGGAGTATAATGTAATCTTCATCACTAATGGGTCCTTCTATCCCTGGCATTTTGTAAGAGGTAAATGTTGGTTACCGTGAGTGAAGCGCGCGCTACTTGAAGTAACAATAAAATAATAAAAGCGTGTTAAATAACTAAGGTAAATTTTACGATTAAACACAGAGCGGCAGCATTTGACAGTATTGAATTGACAGATGGTTCCGCTAAGGTGTGACATCGATACAGTATACAGTGAAACGGAACGCAGTCCTGTCGACTAAGACCATAAACTTTATAAGGTCTTTGATGCGGGCTAGTGCTTCGACTTGTACAATTTACCGCCAAGTTTTCCGCATAGTGTACTTGCGCCCATAGCATCCATATTAATATCTGTGGGCATAAAAAAAAACCAACTGTCAGTGTCAGTAGTACCACCACCAAAAAATCAAAAATCTGTCGTGTTCGTGTGGTTTCGTGGTTTGGGTTTGGGCTGTGTTTTAGAACTTTGATGAAATTATCGTCAATTTATTGTTGATATACAAATTTAATTGCATGGTTCTACTGTGGTACATTAATTGTGTTGCAAATGAGGGAAAAAGGATGTAAACGACTATTTTCAGTTGATGAAAGGGCTGAAATGTATCTCAATAAATTTAAAGATCTGAATGTGTATGACGATTACAGTATTGAAATACCTGATCATGTATTGGAGAGTATATTTTCATATTTGAATCTTAAAGACCTTCGAAACTGTTCTTTAGTATGTAAGAACTGGTATAAAATCCTAAGTGATGAAAATAATGATGTATGGAGACACCACTGTGTTAAAAGATTGGCAGAAGAAGTGTTAAAATCAGACCTACTTTCAACAGTGACCACCTATAAGTCCAAGTTGCGAGCATTTTATCACGCTTGGAATCCCCATGACTGTTCACGAAATATTTATGTTAAACCCAATGGCTTCACATTACATAGGTAAAGAAGATACAGCCCTAAATTTATAAAATTAATTATCAGATTTATAAATTTACTAACAAAATATTGTTCTACAGAAATCCTGTAGCACAGAGTACAGATGCATGCAGAGGAAAAATTGGATTTCGTCAAGGACGCCATGCTTGGGAAGTTATTTGGGATGGGCCTTTAGGTACAGTGGCTGTAGTAGGTGTGTCTACTAAAGAAGCACCCCTGCAATGCCAAGGATATGTGGGGCTCCTTGGCTCAGATGAACAGAGCTGGGGATGGAATTTGGTTGATAATCATCTGTTACACAATGGAGATACCCAAGGGCACTATCCCTTACTAAATAACTGCCCAAAATATCAAGTGAGCAGTCACAATATGTTTTACCTAAGTGTTTCAGTTTTTCATATTATTTTCTATAAACAATAAGCATTTCCAACTTTTTCTTTACAGATGGGGGAAAGAATAAGAGTAATACTAGATTGCGAAGATAATACTTTATCGTTTGAAAGAAATTATGAATTTTTAGGAGTTGCATTCAGAGGTAAAAATAATTTTATTTTCAGGCATGTTGCATGTGACTAAAATGTTTGAAATTCCTAACAATGTAAGCTACTTATCTTTAAATGGCTTGTAAGTAGGTATGGTAAAAAAAAGGAAACTTAAAATGTAGGTCACTAAATTTGGGAATTTTATTACTGTTCTAGGCCTTCCCAACAAGAAACTATACCCAACAGTGTCTGCAGTTTATGGAAACACAGAGGTGTCTATGGTATATCTAGGCCCACCGATGGATGGCTGATAGTTAATTACTTTCATAGTAAAAAGTATAATTCTAGTCCAAACATAATAATAATGTGATATGTAATTATTTAATAACACCAATGCCTTTTTATTGCGATAAAGCCTGTTACATGACAGATTTTTTTATAATTTTGTTATTGTACTATTTTTAAAAGAGTTATGTTATTGAAAGCAGTAAATTAATGTATTCTGGTTAAAATCACTTTAATATTATTTTATCATGAACACAATTAAAACAATAATTATATAAAATAATTAATCCTCTTCTTATTATTACCAGCAGGTATTTTATTAAGTCTGATTATATTTTTCATACCTACTTAAACATGATTTTGGAATGCAATTAAGTACGTCAACTAAGTACGAACGTACTTCACACACTAGTTCGAGGCACCGTACTCGCTGGCGAGTACGATGTCCTGCCTTCCATTTCGGACGGTTCTTCTCCCCCGGTTCCGAGATCCCCTTCAAATACCCACGGTTCCGAGATTACCGGGACGCCCTAAGGTCGCGCCCGTTGTCCCCTCGAACGAGCCCACTAGTGAAACCGCCGTAGGCTGGAAACCAAATGAAAAGCCTGGAATTAAGCCCCACACTGCCTCGTTGGCACCTTTCGAAGTCGAAGTTGGCACCACACACGCTGACGATCGCCAAACAACTTAATCGAGTACCTTCTGTTCTCGGCCACTCTGCCCCGTGAGGCTACAAAAGCTCCTCAAGCTAAAAGCACGGAGCGGGTCGCTTAAAAAAATTGCGGAGCTTTTCTGTGAAGCACCTATGACTACACATACAAGTACCATGCTCTTTTGCCAAATAAAAAACTCGATAGTTTATAATAAATACTTTTATTAACTAAAACCTGACTAAAACATGTCTTCTTCTTACAATGAGATTATTTTAAAATAATACTGATTACGTGTACTTTCTGGGTCTGTTATAAGACAGATTCCGTGTGTAAATAAAAATTAAGCTAAATGTAATTTATTTACTAAGGGATCATAACATTCAATTTTACCTATAATAACTATTTTAATAATACCACAAGTGTGTTGTAAAGTAACAAGCAGTTTACATAATTATAGTACGTTAAATTTCATTCGAGTAGCAAAACTTTTTCAGTTAAAATTGGTCTATTGATCAAATACAAATTCTAAAACTTAAAGTTTTGTCCTAAACCAGATAATAGCTGGTAAAAACACGACCTCATCAATATTGCACCTATACCTATTGTTGGAATATCCCCGTCCCTAATAAAACAACACCCCTAAATTAAAGTAGGTATTTCCATTCCCTTAACATTACTGAATCAGAAAAACGGTTTAAGCCTCGGTTAACGGTTTATAGAGGTCAACGCGCGGCACTTTGCGGCAAATAGCGAAACGAAACTACTGCATTTTATCGATTTTCGACGATTAGTCCATTCATTCTTCTTGGTACATTTATCGTCCAAAATCATCGATAACATTTTATCGAGGTTGTGAAAACTAGGATAATAATAAAGTAATCATAAAGTTTAGCTAATTAATAATATTTCAAAACAAGTTGCAGTAAAAAGTAAGAAATTTTAGACAAAATGATAACTGTGCACATGGGCTCCCCTAAAACGTGACAGTTTTAATTATTTGAAGTATGTAATTAATACAAAAATAACGCGCGACTCTGCGCTGCGCTGGGGCCTACTTAAAACTGTCAGGTCTTGTAACTTGTCTACAGGACAGATCCCATAATTTTTTGACATAATATTAGAACCGCACAGGCGTCTCGCCGAAACTTATAATGATCCGGATCCGGTGCCTACGAGTGGCTTTAACTTTTCAAATTAATATACCATCCGTATCCCTTTTATCACTTTATCCCCATCAACTTAGTAATTTTTTTTATCATAAAATATTATGGTCGGGTCAACTGTTCCCACCTAAATAATATAAGTACAGAGTGTAAGGGGGAATTAAAAATTCGAGATTTTAGCACAAAATAAATTAATTTTAAATTCCTATCAAGACTGAAAAAAAACAGCAGTTTAAAAACGTATTATTATGATATTATTGAATAAGTTTAATTTCCTTCACTGTATGAGTTGAAAAATTTACCCTCACACCCTGTACCTACCTATCGTATGTAACTAGAATTATTTAGGTATACAATGTGTATAGGCGTTCAGAACAAACATTAATTTGAATTGGGTACATAGGACTTATTATAATCATTTTGCACTTATAAATTACGACGACATATCCGTTATGTAACCATCTAATTCAATGGGATACCGCACACGAGCACCTCGTTAGGCTCTATATTGACTAGTAATATTTGGTTCAAGCATGACAAATGTAGTGATACTAAACAAAGAAGCAATACCATACATGAAATTCAACAGGACTTTGTCCGTTTAATCGATATTTATCATTACGAAATAGACTCTATAATTTGACTAAAAATCAAGGCATTATGTAAATATGGTTTTGCTATTACATAATTATGGCTACAAATACCACCTTATTTTAAATACCTTATAAACGCAGTTTAAAATCTAATAATATTATATTACCTTACATCTAATAATCACTCGAACTAAATGGACGCGATGAAATATTGTTTTTACTATGATAGGCATTTTAATATAGATATTCTAGCTACCCTGAGAGGGTTACAGCCATAGAGACAGTATAATAATACAAATTATTACTAGTCAAGTTTTGATGGTTTGTCACTTGGTTTGTCTTGCAAGTAATCTTTCATGTGTGGCTTCACTTTCGTTGGTGGGAATTTCGTGAGGCAAAACTCGGCAGCGAGGCAGTAAGCCTTGCACAGCAGTGGACAAAGCAGCGCCTGATGCGTCACCGCTGCGATGCGGTACCAGGGGCCGTCAAACGGGTCCAATATAGCCGGACACAGCATATGGTTCAAGTTAACTTGGGCAGGCTGAAAAAAACAAATTCATAGCTGTAAATTTTAGTCAAAACATGTACTTTGCAAATTAAAGAATATATATTCATACTTACAATAGCTATAAATTGTAACACAATAAAATGGTACAACAAATTCAAGCTGTAGCTAAATATGGCCCAATTGAAATCCCAAAATGGTTCTATGTTATAGACACCTGAAATGATAAAATAAGTTTGTTTATTGGCAATAACATTAATTATTACCTACAGTGATTCTTTGATTATAAATACATACAAGAATAACAATTTCGAAGTCGGCTTTTTCGTAAAATGGTACGCGACGACTAATTAATTATGCCATAGGTCGCGGGGTCGATTCCCAGTCTTTTAAGGTTAATTATTTTATGAAAACATGCATTAGGCCCTAAAAGGCCCCCCTAAAGTGCTTATGATACTTTGAACAATGACAGCAGACTTGTTAAGGTAAGATTAGCACTAGAGTATCCTTTTAAAAAATGAATCTAAATAAGTGCACTTTCACTTTTAGGCGACTTAGCAACGCGACAAACGCGCAACACACGCGCTGCCGATAATTTTATACTATATGACAGCAGATGCCTGCCTTCACATAATAAAATCGCCGCTGCCGCGCTTCTCACGCCTTAATGTGAAAGCGGCCTAAATGCTCCAATAGTATGAGTACAGACACAATAAATATACATACCACCAATTCTCAGAAGATAGTAAGGAATAACAAACATCATTCCATGTTGAATCCAATATAATGCGGCTTCAGTGAATATCTGAAATAAATGGGGAAAATCAATCACTGTAATGTTAACCATACTCAACTAATGTATTGCAAAAATGTAATTACCGTTCTGGAAGCTGTCTCAGGAAACAAAAAGGCTAATAAAGGGCCATTCAATAAGTTTAGATGAATACGAAATAGTGCGTTGACCATTTTACTTGGTGGTGCAGAAAGTAAGTATATCTGTAAAAGGATGAAAATTATATTGATACAATAGTTTTTACGTTAGAAAAGTAATAAGCAGTGGAAATCTCATGTTCGAAAAAGATAAATGATTTGAGTTGATAATTATAAATAAATTCCTTTTCATAGGCCATAACGTTCATTGAAATTTTTAGGGTCAAAATAAATATAGTTCACCATCTCAAATTAAAAATTGGATCAAAGTTATTAAATAAATAAAGATGTAGGTATTAGAATAATATTTTTTTTTTTTTTTTTTTGCGCTTATCTGCAATCAGTCCCAAACTATAAGCAGATTTGTTCCATGCAGTTTTGACATGTTGAAGGAGCTCCCCAGCAGGATACTCCTCATTCACCATCTGTCACCAAGTATATTGTGGCGCTTCAGTCGTTTAGTGAAGCTGATGGTTGCCAACGCAGTAGCCAACTGATTTGGGTGATTTTCCAGTCGCGTTTTATATTTATTCCCTGTCAGCTTTAGCTCCTCCCTAACAGTTCTCATGCTCAGAGCTTCGTGGATTTCATTGTTGGTAATGAACCATGGTGCATTTGAGATGGTTCTTAGGATGCCATTCTGCAGTCTCTGCACTATGTTTATGTTAGAGTCACTAACACTAGAATAATATGAGAATAAATACATATTTCAATGTACTTACTTGTATTAATGTAGTAACATGACATGGATTTAACAAATATATCACAGTACGAGATGCAAACTTGAAACCAATTTCCATTCCCCATAGGAAGGTTAACAATACAACAAGCAACCGTTTGCCACCTCTATCACTTTTAATATAATTGTCTTCTTTTGGTAATTGAAGTTTTGGATAAGTTTTGATCTGTAAATAATGAAAAATAAACAATTAGACAACTTAATTATTTATTTAAATTACAAAAATACTCACTCTTTTCTTTTCAAGTGGGTAGTTAAATTGTAAAAATAAATAAATTAAGAAGCATAATATTGCAATAACTTATGATTACAATAATTCAATTTAGAGGAATTAAAATTATTAATAACACAATAAATTGTAAAATACACATAGGAATTAATATAAAAAATAGTTAAAAATCCCATTACAAGGATATTGAACTGATTAAGCTATACAATTAAATAGTTATAAGATGTTATTTTAAACATTTTGGAAAGTATTTTTTTGATACTTACTAAAATATAAATGCAAATACCAGTTACTAATATGGTTTCAATTATCTGCCTTTGAGGAGATAAAAAAAACGCACATTCAGGACCAACATTTCTAGGAACGGCCTTATTTGCACCACTGTAAGCCCACTCAAACATTCTTGCAATTTTTTTTAGAAAATGATGACCATTTCTTTTAAATTAGAAAATCACTAATTAAATTATAAATAATCGCCTGAAATTATTTAACGCTATCACAGTTCTCCCGCTGACTGACAATAGTGATTGACAAACAAGGCTGCCAACAAACTGCAAACGACACATTCGTTCTGAAACATTCTGAAATTTCTTGAAATGCTGCTTTTACACTGCGCGGAAATTCGCCAAGTCAAGTAAAAAAAAACAGGTTTTTTTCCGCATAGTGTAAATCCGCCAAAAAATTGTAAGGCGCTTTTACACTGCGCGGAAATTAGCCAAGTCAAGTAAAAAAACAGTGGGGTGGTGATGAATAATGAATGAATTTCATCCCCACTACGCTGTTTTTTTTACTTGACTCGGCTAATTTCCGCGTAGTGTATATCCGCCAGTAGGTACACTCACAGATATGGATAGATGCAGCATGTGTCAAAAATTGTATGAAGCCGAGCGTACCACTTTTTAAACGTCATTAGTGTCATTTTAGCGAATTTTAGTGATTGCCGCAACGTAAAAGTAATCGTATCATCGTACTACATTTGCAAAGTCATCGAATAATATCGTGTGACTCGATTCGAAAATTAATTAATTCCGATAAAACTGATAATTTTTTAAATACAAAACCAAAAACATCTTTATTTACCTTTTTAAAATAAATTAATTCTTACAAATCGTCAAATCTCGTTATTATTTTTTACCCTTTCAAGACATAAATTTGTCAAGTGCATGAATACATGCATCAGTGTGTGTCTTATTGTTATGAGTAAGTACGGTTCCTTGAGATCGGTATGAGTGCACCACATACAGGGACCATGGTTTTAACTCTTAAGAGTACATCGCAGGATATGCATTAAAAACAATGCTACTTTATACTTCTTCTACTGCTACTTTATCCTAATTAATTATTTGTTACTTGTGCTGTTAATTATAATTCTCAATCCGTAAATAATTTCTTCTTTCTACCGTGTTCGTACTACTGTCCTCGTAAAATCATCGTAACCGATTGTTGTAATCGGATTACATGAACATCACTCGACCATGTATGTCCATTTGGACATATCGGAATGGCACGCTTTCACGATCAACTTGCTGTATCTATTCTAATCCATATCTGTGGGTACACTACATCACAGACAGAATTCGCTACAATTCGTAAATGAATGTATCACAAGTCAGCGAACTCAGCAAATGCAATGCGACATTTATAATATCTTTGGAATAATAAAAAAAAGGGTAGATGTCATGTCAATATTGTCATTGTCAAAGTCATTTTGTGATCTTGTGCTTCGTGAAGTGCCGGTTTTGTTTTCGTAAAAACAAAAACTTTAAAGTAAGTACGTTTTAACAAGGATTAAAACAGTAATACCTACTTAATGAAATGAAACATTCGCAAGTATTATATTCCTCTCATAAGACAATTTTTTCAGGAACTATTATTGAATAAAATATAAAACACAGTAAGATGGCACACAGTCATTGTCATGATGGTCATCATGACCACGATCATGCTGACTCAGATGAAATGGGTATACAATACAACTTGTTTGAGAAAATCGATAAAGAAAATTTAGAATGTCTGAATGAGAGTATTGATGGAGCTGGTAAAACTGTATTCAAACCATGGGACAAGAGATTGGACAGGACCAATGTAAGTTAATTTGAAAGTTTTGAAAAGTTTTATGATACATTTTATGCCACGCATGATTAATTTTGATTACATTTTAGTTTGTAGAAAGCGACGCAGATGAAGAGCTACTTTTTAACATACCTTTTACTGGAAATGTTAAACTCAAAGGCATAAGAATTTCTTCTGAAGATACTGATGCGCATCCAGCCAAATTAAGATTGTAAGTACCTAGTTTATTAAAACCTTAATCAGATTTAAATTTAATTTTAAGACAAAATAATCTTCGAGTATTAAGCTATTCAAAACATTCATTCATAAACTTGTGGATTTGTAGGCAGGTAGATTGGTTGAGTTTCATTAATTGGACCAATTACATCTATACTTATAATAAATCTGTAGAGAGGTCAATTCTGTACATGAAGTATATTTTCAAAATAACTATCAGGGGGTAATTAGTGATCGATACTGATGCCAAAAATGCAATCAGTAAAATTTTTGTCTGTCTGTCTGTCTGTCTGTCTGTATGTTCCTTATAGAAACAAAAACTACTCGACGGATTTTAACGAAACTTGGTACAATTATTCTTCATACTCCTGGGCAGGTTATAGGATACTTAGGAATTCCCACGGGAACGGGCATTAGCGGGAAAATCCTTTTGTATGAAAAATCTAAACCGCTTAAGTTAGACGCTTGAAATTTGGCATGCAGGTCCCTTAGTAAACTTAAAGCTTAGTTACAACAGGATATTGCGAAATTCCAACGGGAACGGGAGTTAGCGGGAAAAAACATTTGTATGAAAAAATCTAAACCGCGTAAGATAGATGAAGGGGGTAAAACGGGATCCACGCGTACGAAGTCGCGGGCGGCCGCTAGTATTTTAATATTATCTAATATGTAGAGTCATACCTACTTGGGTGTCTTTTGTTCTCCATTTAATTTAAACATACAAATACATAGATACAGATCATACCTAACTTCTTTTCTAAACTGAATAAGCATAGAATTGCTTTATAAAATTAGAAAAAACAAAGAAGTATATTTTTTCTTAAATATCTCATGGGTTTATTATTTGCGTTTTAATCTTTAGTCATGTTACATTTTTCAAACTTTTTGTAAAATGTAGGTAGGTACCTAAGCAATCTTGTCTGGTCTTCAGTGTTTTGTTTTTATGATCCAAAACAATATGCTTAAAATTGTGTAGGACTCTTAAATACGTGCTTTTTGATGTAAGTCCAGTCAATTGGATTAGAGAATTAAATCAATAAATAATTTATGAAAACTTTATTCAGGTACAAAAATAGACCAAATATGACTTTTGATGATGTGTCCATAGAACCTGATCAGGTTTTTGAACTGCAAAGGGACAGTGAAGGCGCTCTTGAGTATGCTCCAAAGTAAGTATTTTGTAAGCAAAAAATACATTTACCTATTATCTATAATGGAGAATAACACAGCATTGAGTGACTAAAAATTTATAAAATATATTTTATTATTGTTTTTTAACTTAGATCTCATAAATATGAGGACTATCGTTTTTATACTTAATAGTCACCACTGGTGAGTGACAGGACCTTACTCTACAGTGGCGCCGACCTGGTGAGAAAAAGAAGGTGCAATTAAATAGTCTTCCTACCTCCTACCACTAAGGCTCACCAGTTGGCATCACTGTTCTAGTCACAAGCAAGTAACAGGATCTTACTCTTCAGTAGTGCCTATTGTGGACGATAGACTTCAATTGCTTAATTTCTTGTACTTATATCACAAACAAAATAGTCTTCCAACTAACTTAATTTTATTTTTGTAGTAATCACAATGTATTTTTTTTTTCAGAGTTGTTACATTTTCTTCTGTATCACATCTGTCTATGCACTTCCCGAGTAACTTTGGCGCTGAAAGTACTAAAATCTACTACATTGGTCTAAAAGGAGAATGGACACCAGGACATAGGCATGGGGTCACCATCTGCACATATGAAGCAAGACCAAATTTAGATGACCATAAATTAAAACATTTGGATTCTGTTGCCAAGCATATTGATTGATAAAAAGTATACCTAATCGGTCTATACCTTGTATATAATGTATAGCACTTTAAAATAAATTATTCAAACTAAATTGTTTTTCCATGTTTTAATAAACTAGGCATAAACAGGTAGCTAATAACAATATTTCCCATTGCCAAATGCTATATATATTTGAGGCGTCTAGTTTCAAATCCCGCTAAAACGATTTTGATAAGATTTCGAGAAATTGAAAAAAACCGCTTATCCATATAGCTTTGGCCTTAGGCAAAAAAATATATGATACGAATTATTATAGTCATCGGGCAATACTAACAGTAATTCCTATTCACCTTTAAATTAAATATAATTTGAATTATAATGAAAACTATTTTCATTTTGGCGTACTTTGTTACGAACATTCCGTTTTAATGGGATTTGAAACGGACATGTTGTATTTTAGCGGGATTTGATAAGAACAAATTGTAATGCATGAATGGCGTTCTACAATAAAGTCTAATATTAAATAACCCAAAAAATGATAAAATAAATAATTGTCCATATAATTTGTCCATTCTATAATTCAAAGCGATTGCACTTATTGGTTAGGTTATTAGATTAATCAAGTTTTATCGGGTTATTAAAAAAAAAACAATTAAATTATAGTTAGCATGTAAATAAGAAACTTTTATAAATTATTTTCTCGATCTCGTCTTTGCCTTTTTATAACATAATATTTATTCCTGGACATCTGGACATCAGGTGATCCATCTGCTCGTTTGCCTCCTGTCACATAAAAAAAACATCCCACGATATTTATTTATTTACTTCACTGACTGACTGTACAGGGATATAAACATACACACATACATACCTACCTACTCTCGAAACACATCACCCTCCTGCACTCGGGTAAAAAGTAACATACCTTTATAATTAAATTCGTCTTAAGGCATTGAGCTAGTGAAGTTTCTATAATCCCAGTAGTGATCACCAACACTTAATAGTAACAATAACCAACGACAGCTAAATGGTTAATTTTGCATAACACCATCAAAGCTGCTTCAAAAGTAGTTTTTTAACAAATTTCTCTTTCCGTTTCTGGCGCTCCTTGGTGCGTTTCCAGGCTATTTCTTTACGTGGTATCTTTCTTGCGTCTTTAGGGTTACATTTTTCCACGAACTGAGACAAATCTTCCATTATTTTGGATCAAAAACAATAAAAAACCGCAGCAACCTTAAGCATGTTATGAAAAAATCTCCATACTGATTTCGCAGTCACGTGACCAAAATACCGTGCTGCCATTGGTCAATCAACTTTTAGAGGGTTTTGAAAGAAACGGACGGCGTTTTAGCGGAGTTTGTAACACAAACCAAATTTTAAGTGCTAGTTTAGTAGTCTTTAAGCGAATTTTGATCGAAAATGATTGAACAGTATGATGAGAAAATTGCAGTAACGTCATTTAGAGATATA